TACATGGCAACATTATCAAATATGCTATTGATATCCATTTTGTATTCAGCCTATTTTTTAAAATTCTGCTCTATCGAACAAAAAGGTCATAATCGTTTCTGAATAATGCATCAAAAAAAGGGAATAATAAAAACTAGTTGTAGAAGAAAAAACAGTTTTTTAAGCATAGTAAAAGTCATACAACTATGTGTTTGGTTTCTTTTAATTCGTAAGTAATGATCTTCACTAATAATTTAATATTTTCTTCAAAAATTTTACACAACATTTCAAAATTCTACGCATAATGCTAACATAAGATAAAATGTCACTTGAATCAGTTTTTATTACAAGATATATATAATATTATGAATAGGTATTTTATATATTGCTATACAACATATTATTTATGCATAAAAAACTAAAAACTAATTCTACATACACTATCTTTTTCAAAATTATATGACGGTTAGTGTTTCTGTAATACTAATGCTAAGCCGTCACCCATAGGTATCCGAACGGTAATGGAGTAAGAAAATACAATTTCCTTTTTTTTCTTCATGCCATTATACTGAGTATTGTCCGTCATCCTTGAAGAAAAATATATATTTGCTTACTTTATTTTTCTTTTTTCTATGCAGCTCTCCTGATACATCGAACACTTTTATTTGATCAATTTAATCGTAAAATTAGCTGTTTATTTGTTGTCTTAATTTATTTATTCATATAATTGTGTGACGGCTTGTAAGAAATCTGAATAGGTTGATTTGATTTTAATTTTTTTCCTAAATGATTTAGTTATACTCGAAGCGATCGCGCACTTTATCGAAAACATAAAAGATATTAGCTTACTTTGCTGCTCTTCGATTAATTGCATATATAATTTGACTGTTTCTTACCGGAGAAACACAGAAAGCTAGTTTTATTTTACTTATTCCGATGGTTACCGAAGATTTTACAAAAAAACACAGAATGAAAAAAACCCTCTTTTTCTTTTTTTCATCGTGTTCTTCCGAGTATTGCTCGTCATTTTCTGAGAAAAATCTAGACAGTGCGTTTTATTTATTTTGCTCTTTTATCGTTTATTTATCCTGAGAGTGATCGCGCATTTTATAAAGAAAATCGAATAATTTATTATCATGCCATTTTTTTTTGATAACTATGCCCGTGCTTTACTCCATTATTCTGAGAGAAACGGAAAAGCTTGTTTGTTTTCTTTGTCTTGGTTCAATTATTATAAAGATCCTTGTCCATATTAGAATGAAAGTTTGATAAGAAAAATAAACTTGTTTGTTTTCTTCATTTAACTATTCTGTTACTTCTGTTATGTTTCATTAGATAATTAAATTTAATTGAATTTTTCTCATTTAGTTATTCTGAAAATTGTCTAGTGTCCTAGTGAAATAAACAAAAAAAATGGGTTTTATTTTGCTCTCTTAATTTTGAAGACAATTTTTCTTCATCTCATGCGAGAAAGTGAATGATTTATTTAGCCTGATTTTTTTTCTCGATTTAGATCGGGCAGGTATTTGACGAGCATTTTATATGAAGAGTGACATTAGATTAGTTTACTTGTATTTTCTGTTTGTGATTTGCTTCACGGATACTTATTGAAGCTTTTCTATAAAGGAGAATAGAATAAGAGAATTTGCTTTATTTTTATTTTTTGTCTTTGTTTTACTAAAAATTCTTCTATGCATACCTAAGATCCTCTTTTTATATGTAGACTAAATTAAAGAATGATGTTTTTTCTAAATCATTTGTTTCGCATCCGTCACTTGCTTATTTGTTCAAGGTCGGTTAATATGTGCAGAAAGTCAACGAAATTCATAAATGTAAAATACGATTAGCGGAGATCATCTGGAGTAATTAATACGATTTTACGTTATTGAAATTATGAACCACTCATATATATATACTATCTGTCAATACTTTTTATTTGAAAGATACTTCATAAATACAGAACGAGGGTGCGACTTTGGGTCTGAGTCTAGGTATAAATATGGCTGTGTGACTGTAAGTGTACCGAAGAAAAGACATACTGACACCTACGCCCTCCCATCATTAGACAAATCAGTAAGCATCATACTTTTAAATTGATAAACCAATATATCTTCTATCTACTCTGAGATTTCGTGTACAACACGAAAATTTAATGATTTTTCTCCTTGTACTGACTTCAGTTCTGCTAAACGATGTGATTTCTACTTTCCTCATTGTAGTTTTTAAAAACATAAAACTTCAAAAGTAATCAAAATGGCAAATATGAATACATTGGACAACTTATTAAGTTGTCCAATAACATACGAACTATTTCATGATCCAGTCTTAGCACCAGATGGTCATACCTATGAGAAACAAGCGATCGAACAATGGATTCGAAGACATGGAACAAGTCCAATGACAAAACAGCCATTATCCATTGAACAACTCTATCCAAATCGTATTGTGAAAGAAATTGTTGATGTTTTTGAGACATTATTGCTCCAAAAAAATTACCAGTTTATATTAGATGTCGATTTGAAAAAAAAGTCAAGACGACCACTATTTCAGACAACTGGAAAAACGATTTATGAGGCTGAATGGTTGCAGGACAACAATAATCGACCGAAAATAATTCTATTAAAAATTGATGGCGCTCGGGCAAAAAAAGAAGCATCTTTCTACGTAAAATTAAGTCGTCATCCGCATATCATTCGAACATTTGGTTTTGTATATGACAGTAATAATCTCGATCAAAACAATTCAATTCTGCTTTTACAAGAATATGCACCCGAAGGAAGTTTGTATGAGTTGTTACAAGAACGAAGGACAGTTCCTGATGAAAAAATTCTCATTCAAATATTTTTACAGATTATTGAGGCAATGATATGCCTGGTATCTAATCATGTCGTTCATGGCGATTTAGCATGTCGTAATGTCCTAATATTTCGCTTTGACGAAAAGGAAACAGAAAAGAATATTGTTAAAATCACTGACTTCGGTCTCAGCCGACATAGTCAATTGTATTCAATGACAACAAGTGCCGCAAGAACAACATTGAACATAATTCCTATTCGATATGCGGCACCAGAAGTACTTTTATCAAATTTTACAGAGGAGGTTTATACAGAAAAATCAGACATCTATTCAATGGGTGTGCTAATGTGGGAAGCATATTCTCGAGGTTCATTGCCATGGGCAAACATCGTAGACGAGAATGATGTCATTCGAAGAGTCAAAAATGGTGATTTACTACCTAAACCATCCAATTGTAGCCAACCCTTTTGGTCGATCATCACAAAAACTTGGTCTACATCACCAAGTAATCGACCAACATTTAGAGAGCTGAAACATCTTCTGACCAAACAATACTATCAACCAGGTAATTTTTTATATTTATCCTAAACTATATTCCTAATTGGTTTGTTCCGGGATAATTGTTCCATAATTTATTCTCAGTGTCTAATTTATCTTTTGGCAGTAGAATCTGAACAACTTGAGCGATGGCTAATATCATTCCACATGAGCAGAAATATAAATGACACTGTTTCTAACGACTGCAGCGAAATTATATCGAGATGGAATTATATAAAATCCAAATACAGAAAAGTTTGGGGAATATAGAATAAAATCAGAGTTTAATATGAATAGAATCATCAACACAATCATATTCAGTTGTCAAGTAAGTTGCGCTGGTTCATCATAAGAAATTACTTTTCTTAACTATTCATGATGGTCACGTCTTTGCTCAATTTTTTCTCTCTCACTTTTGTTTCCCTCATATTTTTGAAAAATATGCTGGTCTTGAATAGATGAATGAACTGAAAGATATGGCTATGAATCAGAAACACTATATTTACTTTTTTTTATCAGCGAATGATAAATTAGGAACCAGTCAAGAGATAGCTAACCGTATCTAGGAAAAATCTAAAAAAAATAACTGAAAGAAAATGTGTTTGAACTAACTTTCTTTAGTTATAATTTAAATGATAGGTTGGATGCTACAAAACAAGACTGGACAAAATTATACAGGCAACAAGTATGATCCTACTAAAGACCAAAGAGAAACAGCACAACGACAGCAGGAAGAGCAAGGTAGAAAAATAGTCCAAGAATATACATTGCTTGAAACTGTGAGTTTCTTCACAAAAGCATGCACTTTGTTTTGAACATTCTTTTTGACTTCAGCTCAATAAACTGAAGGAATCACTTGAGTCAGTTGCACGAACAAGTAAGCCATTCGATAATTTAGATGATGATATATCTATCTATATTTTTCCTTTTTTCGCTTCGTAGTTCGCATGTATTCTACCAGTTGAATTTCAAGATGAGACATGCACCCTAATTGCCATTTATTTTTGACTGTGTAGAAAACATTAGAATCCACCTACAATCTAAAATATTTCAAGTAGTTCCTTCCTTTCGAAGCACCTGAATTCATTTGAAACTCGTGAATAGTTTGACATATAACTATTTGAGATATTCATCTATTCCAAAATGAAATGTTTTCCAGTTTTACCTAATGTCTGAATCATTTTTGACAGAAAATATCTTGGCATGAAAAGAGTGTACGCAGTTTCCAATAATATTAGCAGATTTCACCGTTTCTTTTGTTCAATAATTTGGGAAAGACTGTTTTCAGATTTAAAGTCGCTATGGTTGACGATGAGTGATCAAGTTGATGGGCACGTACTACCGAGTACTTTGTTCGAGTATCGGCGCCAAACAAGGGCGCGTGGATGCGGTTGAGATCAGCTACAGGTGGAGAGAGCGGCGGAGTGATGATGCTCTATTGACATCTAACGATGATTACTCTTCGACGTCGGGCAACCCTGTCGACGTTTCACTTTCGGTCACACTTTAGACTACCTATCATCCCTAGTTATGATTGCTAAGGAATTTTTATTCGAGATCTGCTTACATTCTCTTCTATTTAGATGATCGAAAGATATTCTCATATATTCAAGAGTGCCCTATGACCATAAATATATTTATGATGCAATAAGAAAAAAAGAATTCTACATTTAGAATCTCCTCAAACAATGTCACAACGTTCTCAACAGCAAGGGAGTCGCATGTCTCATAATTATAGTCCTGTTCTTGCTCTTGGTGGTATTCGCGATCCTGCTAGTAAATTTCCTAACGTTGCTGCTCTTCGTGACACTTATGATCGTGATTATATTCATGGTAATCGTGACACTCGTAATCGTTATGCTCAAACTTATGCTGCTATTGCTTTTGCTAATCCTAATGTTCTTCCTCTTCCTATCTATGATGGTAATGAGGATCTTCCTTATAAAATTCCTGATCCTCGCAACTGGTGATCTTGTTACTGGATCACAATAAAGTCAGACGTTTTTAGCGGATTAACTTCTAAACGAATTACATATTATCTTGTTGCGTTTTAGTACAATAAATTTGTGGGTGTGGGTGTGGGTGTGGGTGGGGTGTGGGTGTGGGTGTGGGTGTGTGGGTGTAAGTGTGGGTGCGGGTGTGGGTGTGGGTGTGGGTGTGGGTGCGGATGCGTGTTTATGGTCACTTCGCGCACAGACCCACACCCGACTCTAGACTTGGGTGGTTGGTGCAGAGAATTATTAGCATTGACTTGAACGAAGAGATCAGGATATGGGTGTGAGTGTGAATCATAGATTTAGAGCGGAGTATTATCCACACCCCAAATCCACACAAAATTAGCAGACAAAGCACGAGTTTTTCTATCGATCAAGTGAAGAAATTAATTTCAGCTTCTCTTTTGGTCTTTTATACATTTTCATTCTAGGATTATTTCAAAGCTGTTGATCTATGTGAATTTAGTAATAGATTACAAACAATAGGAAACAACTTGATCAACAAAGAACTGTGTATGGATGTGCCAGCCTAAGTAATCTTTGTCTTCATTGACAGCCATATTCTCGATTTTTGTTAATTTTGTTTTAGAACTTTGTAAGACAGAACTTTCTTTAATATGTCAGAAAATGATACAACTGTGGAGACCTTTAAGTTTTCTGTTTAAAAAGGGCAAAATCATTGCTTTTATTCGTTAGACGAAGGATGACAATGTGGCTCGCCTATTAAAATTTGATAAATAAATCGCAATACTTGCATATTGTCTCCAGTTTTAGTTAGTCTGCTTGATCACAATAAGTTAATGTTTCTGCAGAAATCTACTTAAATAGTGCGCATAAAAAATAAAAACAATGCTGGCGCAATGTTTACAGCTATTGCGTCATTCAGGGACAGTCCATAGATGTTTTTCTGCTGAGTTATTTGCAAAGGTGACTCGACTTACACATATACATTGCAGAAGACAAGTTTTTTTTCTTGTTCTGTTTCTGTTCTGTCTACGCGCATTTCAACATATTTGTTGTTTGTACATGTAATTACTAACCAGGATTGAGTCAGCCACACAATTGGCATATATATGTCTAACAACATAGTTGATCAGGCATTATACACTTTGAAATTAAGACTTATTTGTAAGTATAGAAATAAATATGAATAGTTTCAGCACTCACCTATACTCTCATTTCTGTTTGACTTCTGAGTTTTCTTCAAACTACTTGTGCAGAAACAAATAATATCCCCGAAATAACATTTTATCTTGTTCGTATCAGAAAAGAAGGTCAATAGTGAGAAATCGATATATATTTCAAAGTAGATCTGGGTAATGCCACTGACAGCCCAAGAACATTTATCGAAATAACAAAATTTTCACGTTCCGAATTGACTAAACTTGTCGTTAGAATAAATGCTCTTAGGCTTCTGGCAGTCGACATTAAATTCACTAATCGATACAGTACGGCCACAATCGGTAATTAACAGTTGAATAAGTAACTTTTTGAGCTGAAATATAAAGTGAAGCATCTCGAGTTGTTATTCTTTCATTGTATTCTTTGAAAAAGCTCTCTAGCATAAATGTCAACTTGAGAGAAAGTTAGAATTATTCGTAGACTTGAACGAAAATGAGAGATAACGATCATGACCTATAGAAAAATCAATGCGGAATTATATTATACAAGAGAAATCCTGAGTTGCCGTTTATAAAAGTCATTTTCCTCTTAAACAATACTTGGTTTACTTCAGATTATCTATTCTGGAGACAGAAATGAGTCATACCTTCTTGTTCATATAAAAAAAATTTATCACTATGCTCTTATTTCTGAGTACAATGTTGACTACAACAAAATCGTTTTATTGAAGTTATCTGATGTCCATTCTTAATGAACTTATTCCCGGTATTCAGTGACCTACATAAATACCAGACTCATTTGTCATCGATATTCAATGTATTTTCTATTTTTCTATTCAAATTTTCTTGTTGACACAGACTGACCAGCACGTATTTCAAATGTCATTTTTGCCCTCGTTGCCAAGCGGAGTAAGTGAAGCTTCGCTGGAAGACGCAAATATGAGGACAAGAAATGATTCCAGACAAGAACAAGAAGAAAATGATCATTACCCATTAGCATCATCAGAAATAATCACAACATGCACAGGCTCAACCTCTTCAATCACTTCCAGCAATCAACAACAGCTACGCGTACCATTTCAAGTTCATATGACGCCACCAATTGTCAACGTGTCTCGTTTGCAACCTATCCTACAGTAAGTGTTCATCGAAAAACAAAATCATTTTCTCTTTTTTTACATTCAATATTCGAAAGTTAACGACATAATAATTTTTGAAACTGTTATGATGGATAAACCCAGCAAAGATGTTTTCAGTTTTAAGTTAGAAAATTACAACGGAAAATCTACCGTAAAAAGGAGAAAAACTTATTTTCGTAATCTGATTTGAAATCTTTGATCTTACTTGTATAGAATAAGACTAATGAGAATTTATACAAAAAAAGAGAAGATGCCGCTGAAGCCAAACGTGAGACACGACAGCGGAGTTCATTTTGTCACTCTGCCATGCCACTAGACAATGATTTAAGTATTGAACGCAAAACTAACTATTTGTAGGCATTCGTATATTTCGTATTGGTGTTGTGGCTTCGACCTGTATCGCTTGATAGTCGTATGATTAAATCATGATATGAAATTTATTTTCACGAATAACATTTATTTCTGTTTCATGCTAGATCTTTTGTGTCATTTGATGCATTGGAAAGCGATAAGCTCCTTTCTGGACTCTTCTTGCTAGAAAAAATGAACAATTAAATCAATGAAAATGAGATTTGAAGTCACAAATAGATTTGGATACTGTCAAGATTTATTTGAGTAGAAAACAGTTTTGAGTGAATTTTACTGAGAACTGTATGCTTTGTAAATCATCATTTAGTTAAATAGCATAAAATTACTTTTCATCCTTGAGCTTCTTCTAATTGTCATGGATAGTCTTCTTTTATTCGGTTTCGGACGAAATCGATCTTCATTGAAAGTCATCAGTATATTAATCGTACATTAAATCGAACAAGAACATTTGTTTATTCTGCGTTTTCTCTCGTCATTTGTATTGATACTCCTTTCAGCTTTCGACAAAATACAAGACTTAGTTGTTCTGTAAGTTATTTCAATCTTTTCTCAGTGTTGATTTTAATCGAAGGCAATGTGTTTAATTCCATTGTCTGTCACATGCATCTGCAATCTGTTCGAAAAGGATGAAAGATGCAAGAATTATGTTTCTTTCTAATTGCCTGATTAAAAGCTCATTAGACTTAAGAAACGCCAATGTTAAGGCTTAAATAATAATCAGGTTGAAGCAAATTTTCTATAGAAAAATTTGAATGAATCCAACTTTGTTCAAGCACTTGAAGAATGTGAGAAAATAGATCTTATGGATATATATCACACATACTCATTTACTATATAAAGATGACATATTGTGATAAGTATAGTCGGCTCAATCTGGAAATATCGACTTTGACTAACAGCGAGGGATCTTGAAAACAAAAAAAGATTTTTTTTTCTGTCTGAAATATTATAATGAGATAAACAATGATCAAGCTTGATTCATCGGCAAATCACATTGAGCTACTTATCAGTTTGAAGCATCAACTAAACAGAAGAGTGATACGTACTTAAATTTTTTGTGAATTATTTTCAAGAAATGTTATATCAACGGTGGATCTGAGTTGTCCATTGGACTTGAAACGGATTTCTTTGCAAGTTCGTAATGCCGAATATAATCCAAAACGATTTGCTGCTGTTATTATGCGCATTCGAAGACCACGCACCACTGCCTTAATCTTTGCTTCGGGTAAAATGGTGTGCACAGGTGCCAAAAGGTATTGAAAACATTTTCTATTTTCTGTTTATATGATTAATTTTGAATATTTTTAGCGAAGAAGATTCATTAGAAGCAGCTCGACGTTATGCGCGAGTGATTCAAAAACTTGCTTTTCCAGTATGATAAAGTACTTTAAACTAAGTTTTGTATATTCAAATATCTTCAAGGTTAAATTTCGCGATTTCAAAATTCAAAATATGGTCGGAAGTGTTGACGTCAAATTTCCTATTCGATTTGAGAAGATTATAATTGAGCATCATCAATACTGCAGGTAAAAAATGAATTCAATTGACATTGATTCAGGACAGATATTTGTCTTTTTAGTTACGAACCTGAAATATTTCCCGGTCTAATTTATCGAATAGGTAAACCAAAAGTTGTTTTACTTATTTTCGTATCGGGCAAAATAGTTCTAACTGGTAATTCAACTGAAAACCCTCCTATCTAAGTCACACTCTCAGTCGATTATTTTAGGCGCAAAAGTTCGTCGAGATATGCATGAAGCATTTGAAAAGATTTATCCAATACTCAAACAATGTCGAAAATGAATTCCCATCAATTAATTCTTCACTGTTGTATGGAAATTGTTTTCTGTCATCTTCTTATTTGTGACTCTGGAAAAGATGATCGACCTCCAATATCCACCAAGAACTGGATGAAAAAAATTCAGAAAAATATACACGAGATCGATGAATAGTTATTCGAAAGAACTTTATTGAAATGGCGATCACCTCCATTCTATGAAAGCTATATAGTTAATAATCAGTGAACTGTCTGACTTTGATCAATATACTTTAAATATACAAAATCTAATCATCAGAATGTATCAAATCTAAACCATATAGAGACTATCGCCGGCTTGGCGTAATTTGTGATGTGACTGCGGATGTTGGTGTGAGGAAAGAGAGCATTGAGCGACCAATTCAGAAGAAACTGCACGGAAACAGCTTACTAACAGCAACACCCACAAAGCCAATGAAGAAGTGATAAGTGATTAAAATTGATTAGCAGGTAAAAGGAGTTTGAAGTAAACTAACAGATAGCATAGCAAAACAGCTGATAATTTCCATGTAGAGAAAAAAACCAGAAAAATCTGATTACAATTCATTTTTTTTAAACACTTTTTTTGTATGACAAAAGGTTCCCATTTAGTTGTATTTCCTCTTATCGTTTACAAACAGGTACCAAAGTATTAAAAGAAATGATCGAAATCCTTTCGAAGTTTATTGTATCCTAACTTTCTTTATGACTATAACGAACTTATAATTGATTAGTATTGACATAGGATTTTGAAAATTTAGTCGATTTTATGGGTTAAACTTTTTCATTCGGAAACCGTACATGGAAAAACCGAATTGAAAGATGTTGACCTGACATTTTGTCGATCGATAGGTCTCATGATCTTTAAGATATCTCAATAGTTTCAGCCCAAAAGAACGTATTCTTCTTATGAAATTGGATATCCAAAAAGTGATCATGTATCAAAAAAGAGCTCAAGGAGAAAAAAATTCTTTAGGATTGAAATGGTTATGACATTCTAAGGATCATTACACCTAATTATGGGCACAATGTCAGGTCAAAATCCTGTAAATCGAATTTTTCCATTTATAAGTTGACAGAGATAGAAAATCCAGCAAAAAGGGTCCGAACTCCAGAAAAACCGGGCATCGGAACAAACTCTTCAAGACTCCATCAAGTCTCATCGAACTCTAGTAACCGACATCGATCCGATTCAAAACGGCGCTTGACACTTGGAGACAATGCTCGTTTAACTTTTAATCGTGTTTTGATGAAAATAAGACACATCGTCATGCCTATATGGAACTGTCCCATCGTGTTTTACGTTTTAATCCTATTTGGATACGCTGTAAATTTGTTTAGTGCAGTGCGATAACGATGATCGTTTTTATCCGACTCGATTTTCTCCATGCCATCATTTTTTTTTCGCCGACTAACGTAACGTGGTAATGCTATTTTCAAGCAATTACTTATTTGTCGAGAGATAATTTTTCTTTATATGCTTCTTGAGTAAATAATCACGAATAATCGAATTTTCTTTTGCTTTGCAATAGATAATAGTAAAAAGAAAAATTCTTCTACTGAACTTTTCGCTTTATTCTTATGCTACTTGATAATGATATTTACTGCTTTTAATTTGTGTACATTGTATGCGAGCTTCCTTCTTTTCAGTAAGACAAATTTGATTTTTTCATCACATCCTTACGCAACTATAAAGAAGCAAGAAAGTCTGTTCCTTCGATAAAGTGGAAGCTACCGTTCTAAACATCATCACAAACGCTTAAGAACTGTTATTGGCAATACAGGTGCTAGTAAATCATTTC